TCCGTCGGCTGCGCGCGCCTGAAAGAAATCGGGTTCCCAAATTTTTGCCCAAATTCTTGAAATGTGCACCGGCAAAATTGCTGATTTTTTTTGGGAATATCGCAGGGCAGTCGACGCTCCCCGACTGGCAGCAGATCAATGTCTCCCCCCCCCCCCCACTCACTCCTGCACACGACGAGACTCATCCCCTGCCTCCTGACGTCTCTCTGCGGTCACACACAACAACAGCAACAACAACAACAACAATGCACACGCTCGAAAAGCTTCTCTCTGCCTCTCCGCGTCTTCCTTTCTCTGTCCGTGCATCCGCCCGTCCGTCCGTCTGTCTCTCTCCCTCTCACTCCTCTCTCATCCTCTGCGCGACCTTGCCCAGGCGATCGGGGGGGTCGGAGTGGGAAAGACAGCGGCATGATAAACGCTCCCCGCGCCGCTTTGATAAACTGGCAGTGGCATGCCGGGTGATCGCTGCCTTTCCGTGTCCTCACCGCTTGCCACGGGAGCCGATGATACCCTTACTGAGCGAGACCCCCCCCCGCCCCGCATGCCCATGGTTAAAGTGGTGCTGAGATGTTAACTACCTCGCCTGGTCTACAGGAGGTCGTGGGTTTGATCCCGACCCTGATTCCTGCTCTATATTTGGAGTTTGCGTGTCTCTCTCTCCCCGTGGTGAGATGTTAACTACCTCGCCTGGTATACAGGAGGTCGTGGGTTCGATCCCGATTCTGACGACGCCTGCTGTATATTTGCAGTTTGCATTTCTCTCTCTCCCCGTGGTGAGATGTTAACTACCTCGCCTGGTATACAGGAGGTCGTGGGTTCGATCCTGACCCTGACGATGCTTGCTGTATATTTGGAGTTTGCGTGTCTCTCTCTCTCAGTGGTGAGATGTTAACTACCTCGCCTGGTATACAGGAGGTCGTGGGTTCGATCCTGACCCTGACGATGCTTGCTGTATATTTGGAGTTTGCGTGTCTCTCTCTCTCAGTGGTGAGATGTTAACTACCTCGCCTGATATACAGGAGGTTGTGGGTTCGATCCTGACCCTGGCGATGCCTGCTGTATATTTGGAGTTTGCGTGTTGTCTCTCTCTCTCAGTGGTGAGATGTTAACTACCTCGCCTGATATACAGGAGGTTGTGGGTTTGATCCCGACCCTGATGCCTGCTGTATATTTGGAGTTTGCGTGTCTCTCTCTCCTCGTGGTGAGATGTTGACTACCTCGCCTGGTCTACAGGAGGTTGTGGGTTTGATCCCGACCCTGATGCCTGCTGCTGTATATTTGGAGTTTGCGTGTCTCTCTCTCCTCGTGGTGAGATGTTGACTACCTCGCCTGGTCTACAGGAGGTTGTGGGTTTGATCCCGACCCTGACGATGCCTGCTGTATATTTGGAGTTTGCGCGTCTCTCTCTCTCCCCTTGTTCGCGTGGATTTTTCATCCGTTTTGTTTTTTGCCCCTCCGCATTTAGAATCGACGTCACACGTTCTGAATTATTTGGCTGCTCTAAATGTCCACATGGTGGTGATAAACCGATTCGTTGAGCGATCATTGGTGATGGCCAGGTCACTTCTCGGGAAAAAAAAGAGCTATATAGTAGCTCAGTGGGGCCTTACCCGGTAAAATAAAAAAAAATTAACATAGTTTACAAATATATATATCATTTGAATAAAGGCAGTGGCGTTATGGCCGATATTCAATAGCTCTCTGTCTAAATGAAGTGCTCTCGTCTCCGCACGCGTGCTAAGCGTACAAATGCGCGGCGTCTTCATAACGCACGTGACGTGACATTGCACGGCTCTGTGTGTCTTACTGCCGTTCGCGGAGGGAGGGAGGGAGGGGGCGAGGGAGGGGGCGAGGGAGGAGGGGGCGAGGGAGGGAGGGGGCGAGGGAGGGAGGGGGCGAGGGGGCGAGAGAGGGAGGGGGCGAGGGAGGAGAGGGGGCGAGGGGGCGAGGGAGGGAGGGGGCGAGGGAGGAGAGGGGGCGAGGGAGGGAGGGGCGAGGGAGGGAGTGGGGCGAGGGGCGAGAGAGGTCGGGGGCGAGGGAGAGAGGGGGCGAGGGGGCGAGGGAGGGAGGGGGCGAGGGGAGGAGGAGAGGGGGCGAGGGAGGGAGGGGGCGAGGGGGCGAGAGAGGGAGGGGGCGAGGGAGGAGAGGGGGCGAGGGAGGAGAGGGGGCGAGGGGGCGGGGAGGGAGGGGGCGGGGAGAGAGGGGGGCGAGGGGCGAGAGAGGGAGGGGGCGAGGGAGGAGAGGGGGCGAGGGAGGGAGGGGCGAGGGAGGCGAGGGAGGGAGGGGGAGAGCGAGAGAGGGGGGGGCAAGGGAGAGGGCGAGAGGGAGGGAGGAGGGGGGGAGGGGGCGAGGGAGGGGGCGAGGGAGAGGGAGCGAGGGAGGGGGAGGGGAGGAGGCGAGGGAGGAGAGGGAGGAGGCGAGGGAGGAGACGAGGGAGGGAGGGGGAGGGAGGGGGCGAGGAGGGGGAGGGAGGGGCGAGGAGAGAGGGAGGGGGCGAGGGAGGGGCGAGGGAGGGGCGAGGAGGGGCGAGGGAGGGGGGGGGAGGGAGGGGGCGAGGGAGGGGGGAGGGAGGGCGAGGGAGGGGCGAGGGAGGGAGGGGGGAGGGAGGGGGGCGAGGGAGAGAGGGAGGGGGCGAGGGAGGGGGGAGGGAGGGGCGAGGGAGGGGGCGAGGGAGGGAGGGGGGAGGGAGGGGGGCGAGGAGAGAGGGGAGGGGGCGGCGAGGGAGGGGGGAGGAGGGAGGGGCGAGGGAGGGGGGGCGAGGGAGGGAGGGGGGAGGGAGGGGCGAGGGAGGAGAGGGAGGGGGGAGGGAGGGGGCGAGGGAGGAAGGGACGGAGGGAGAGAGGGGGCAAGGGGGCAATGGATGCGGGAGATGCCGTTTCGCTCGCACTGTGCTCACCCTCACCTCGTCTAACCTCACCTCGTCTAATCTCACCTCGACTAACCTCACCTTGCTCCCCCGTCCCGCGTCCTGCAGTCCTGCCCTGTGACGGTGATTCACTTGCCTTAAATTAACAACGAAAGGCGACGTTTCAGGCGATGGTCCCAATGGGCGTTCTTCACCGATGTGCTCACGCAGAGACCGGTAGACTCACACAGAGACCCACAGACTCACACAGAGACCCACAGACTCACACAGAGACCCACAGGCTCACGCAGAGACCGGTAGACTCACACAGAGACCCACAGGCTCACGCAGAGACACATAGACTCACACAGAGACCTATAGACTCACACAGAGGACCCGTAGACTTATGCAGAGACCCATAGACTCACACAGAGACCCACAGACTCACACAGAGACCCACAGACTCACACAGAGACCCACAGACTCACACAGAGACACATAGACTCACGCAGAGACACATAGACTCACGCAGAGACCGGTAGACTCACACAGAGACCCACAGACTCACACAGAGACCCATAGACTCACACAGAGACCCACAGACTCACACAGAGACCCACAGACTCACGCAGAGACACATAGACTCACGCAGAGACACATAGACTCACACAGAGACCCATAGACTCACATAGAGACACATAGACTCACACAGAGACACATAGACTCACACAGAGACACATAGACTCACATAGAGACACATAGACTCACACAGAGACACATAGACTCACACAGAGACACATAGACTCACACATAGACACATAGACTCATACAGAGACCCACAGACCCACACAGAGACCCACAGACTCACACAGAGACCCGTAGAGTCACACAGAGATCCACAGACTCACACAGAGACCCACAGACTCACACAGAGACCCATAGACTCACGCAGAGACCCGTAGACTCACACAGAGACCCACAGACTCACACAGAGACCCATAGACTCGCACAGAGACCCATAGACTCACACAGCGAGCCGTAGACTCACGCAGAAACCCACAGACTCACACAGAGACCCATAGACTTACGCAGAGACTCATAGACTCACGTAGAGACCCATAGACTCACACAGGCACCCACAGACTCACACAGAGACCAATAGACTCACACAGAGACCCACAGACTCACACAGAGACCCACAGACTCACACAGAGACCCACAGTCTCACACAGAGACCCATAGACTCACACAGAGACCCACAGACTCAGACAGAGACCCATAGACTCACACAGAGACCCATAGTTTGTTGTCCTTCCCCCGCACCTCCAACGCGAACGCACTCCGGCTGCCAACCGCTAATGATGAAGTCTGCGGAGGACAGCGCTCGTAGGGGGGGAATGCTGCCGATGATTGCCACACACCGCACCGGGTACTCATTTGAGGCTGAGTCGACTTAGCGGAGACCCAGGATCGGGTTCGGACAATCGTCACCGGTGTTGGCCGCGAGCGGGGAATCGAACTCGGGTCGCCGGGTTCGTAGCGCAGCGTAGCGCTGACCGCAGCGCCACCGCTCCCCACGCAGGATGCGACGCACGCACGCACATGGTGGTCCAGATGTCCCGTGACCTCATTTAAATCTCTAAAACATCGAATATTATGTTTTCACGCGCAGGTTTATTTATCACAGAAATTACTGCGCAAAGGAAAAACGAAAACAAAAAACCGCTAACCGCCGCACAAGAGGCAAAGATCCCCAGTGTAGCCTTAACAGACTGTTGGGGCAAGTGCTGTTAGCGAGTTGCACCTATGAAGGCCGGCACGGCACACGAGGGGGTGGGTGGCCAACGCCACGCCCGGCCGCCTTTGTCTCCCCAGTGGCAATTTTCACACATCGCACAGGTACTCATTTGAGGCTGAGTCGACCTAGGGGAGGCCCAGGACCGGTTCATATAATCGTCACCGGTGTTGACCGCGAACGGGAATCGAACTCGGGTCGCCGGGTTCGTAGCGCAGCGCGCTAACCGCTACACCACCGCTCCCTACCGCCGCACGTACACACACACACACGTGTAGCGCGGTCCCTCCATCGGGAGGGGTCATCGTCGATGCCGCTGTGACCCCTCACGAGCGTGTGTGTCACCGCCGCGGGCTGCAGGCGGCTTCAGGAGGCTGACCATCCGCAGGATCGTCACCAACGCCGACGGCTCCACGTCCATCGACGTCTACCCGCTCGAGGGCGACGATCTCGACGCCAAGCTCCGTCGCATCATGCTCGAAGGTCAGCCCCGCACCCCCCTTGCCCCGCCCACTTTGCACACGACACTTACCCGCCCTCCCCCTCGCCCCGCCTATTTTGCACACGACACTTACCCGCCCCCACCCCAAGCCCCGCCCACTTTGCACACGACACTTACCCAACGCCCCCCCAAGCCCTGCCCACTTTGCACACGACACTTACCCGCCCCCCCAACACCCCGCCCCTTCCGCGCACTCCACCGCCCCCACAGCAACGTCACAAAGACGGAGGTCGACACGTGTAGCCGCTGATGGGTTCGCAATAGTTGGCCACGTAGGGTGACAAAGAAGTTCAACAAACGGTGCAGATGTTAGCCCACCACAACCACCACTGCCACCACTACCACCACTAGCACCACTGCCACTACCACCACAACCACCAGAACCACCAGCAACCACTACCACCACATCCACTACCACCACTGCCACCACGACCACTACCACCACGACCGCCACAACCACCATGACCACTACCACCACCACCACCACGACGACCACTACCACCACAACCACCACTGCCACCACGACCACTACCACCACTACCACCATGACCGCCACAACCACCACTGCCACCACGACCACCACACAAAGACAGAGCTGACCCCCGTGTAGCCGCTCACGGATTCGTCACGGGTTGGCCGCGTGCGGTGTCAAACATACAAACACAACCAACACTACCGCCGCGAGCACTAGGCCTCGGCAAGGTAAGGTAATTTACCCTTTTTACCGGGTAAAAGGGTAAAGGTAAAGGTGTCGACATGCCAAGGGGTAAGGGTAAAGGGTAGGGCAAAGGTAGGCTCGTTGCTTTTTACACTTTTACCTTACCTTGCCGAGGCCTAGCGAGCACTACGGCCACACAACGACAAAGATCACCCGTGTAGCCTGGACAGGCCGCAGGGGCAAGTGACTGTTAGCGAGCAGCACCCACGAAGGCCAGAACAACGTGACGGGATGGATGGACAACGCCACGCCCGGCCGCCTTTGTCTCCCCCGGTGGCAATGTTTACTGCGTCACCGTGGCAAGGCGCTCGTTTGAGGAGGGAATCCGATGAGTTGTGCAGCTAATTTATTTTTAAATCCTTTATGTTAAGTTCGCTTGCTTGCTTACGACCGTGCAAATCTTTCAATCGTTTTTTAACCCACTTCCCGTGATCCAATCGAGCTGACATTTTGCACACAGACTCGTTGTGCGTGACAATTTCTTTTCGTGAAAAAATAATTATATTTAATTACCAATTGCGTAAGGGTGGCAGGCAATCATCTGACCCATAGGTGGCAGCCATCTCAAGCCAGAGGACGAGAGGACTCTAGCCGCCCGTTTCAAAGACCAATGTGGACTGGGTTGTGGCCTATTGAACACGCATATACAGGATTTATAGTGAAAACTTTGTTTTTACGGGTTAATTTTTTGATCTCCAGGAGGGGCCTGGTCATATTCTTTGCGTGTTTCGGTAAAGTCACGTAGATAGGTTTCAAAGAAAATCACCAAAAATCCACGATCGCAACACGAGCGGTCGTCATCAGGAAAAGGGGGGTTAGCCTCTAAAGGCAAACTGTCTATAGAGGTTTAAAATGGGCGTAGCCCAAGTGCGATGTGAGTCGTGATCCATGGCGGCGCGCGTGGTGGATTTACACCAATCAAAGGGCTGCCAGGTCATGTTACCTGCCTCCCTGCACTTCACCCCGCCTTCCTGCACCCTCCCTGCACCTCCCCCTCTCTTCCTGCACCCCCCTCCCTCCCTGCAGCTCCCCTCCTTCCCTGCACCTCCCCCTCCCTGCACCTCCCCCTCCGTCCCTGCACCCCCTCCCTCCCTGCACCCCCCTTCCCTCCCTGCACCTCCCCCTACCTCCCTGCACCTCCCCACGCCACCTTGCACCCCCCCTCCCTCCCTGCACCTCCCCCTCTCTCCCTGCACCTCCCCCTCCCTTCCTGCACCCCCCTCTCCCTCCCTGCACCCCCCCCCCCCTCCCTCCCTGCACCTCCCCCTCCCTCCCTGCACTTCCCCCTCCCTCCCTGCACCCCCCCTCCCTCCCTGCACCTCCCCCTCTCTCCCTGCACCTCCCCCTCCCTTCCTGCACCCCCCTCTCCCTCCCTGCACCCCCCCCCCCTCCCTCCCTGCACCTCCCCCTCCCTCCCTGCACTTCCCCCTCCCTCCCTGCACCCCCCCTCCCTCCCTGCACCTCCCCCTCTCTCCCTGCACCTCCCCCTCCCTTCCTGCACCCCCCTCTCCCTCCCTACACCCCCCCTCCCTCCCTGCACCTCCCCCTCCCTCCCTGCACCTCCCCCTCCCTCCCTGCACCCCCCCTCCCTCCCTGCACCTCCTGCAAAGCGAGCAAGGCCTCCGCACCCATGGTTCCTCGGCACCGGATGAAGCTGTCCCCCCCGTCACTCGCCCGTCAGGCAGGAAACCAGCCGGCAAATCTTCATTGTAGAATGTAAGGGGAAGAAGAGGAAAAAAAAAGGAACGGACCTCACAAAAAAAATATATCCACGTCAGGAGATAGATAAATAACAGGAGGGATGGGTGGAAGAAAATTAAATGATCTATCTTGAAAATTCCAATTACAATTAATATGCATTTGATATCGGACATGTGGAATCGATGCCGGCAACTGGGGGGGGGGGGGATACATTTATTTTGTTGAAAACAATTATCACACAAAATCGATGTTGTATATCTCTGAAGGGCAGCGCTGTGCGAGTTAATAAAGTATTGACGAGTCTCTGAAGATCGCGTCGAGAGTAACGCTCCGTAACGCCACAGCGGCTTCCAAGTCCTCGTCCCACCAGCAGCAACACAATGTTGTGGTGATGATGATGACGATGATGATTGATGACGATGACGACGATGACGATGATGATGATGATGACGATGATGATGATGACGATGACGACGATGATGATGATGATGACGATGACGACGATGATGATGATGATGACGTGACGACGATGATGATGATGATGACGATGACGACGATGATGATGACGATGACGATGATGATGATGACGATGACGACGATGATGATGATGATGACGATGATGATGATGACGATGACGACGACGATGATGATGATGATGACGATGACGACGATGACGATGATGATGACGATGATGACGATGATGACGATGACGACGATGATGATGACGATGATGACGATGACGACGATGACCAGGATGACGATGACGACGATGATGATGATGATGACGATGATGACGATGACGACGACGATGATGATGACGATGACGATGACGACGATGATGACCAGGATGACGATGACGACGATGATGACGATGACGACGATGATGATGACGATGATGACGACGATGATGATGATGACGATGACGACAATGACGACGATGATGACGATGACGACGATGATGACGATGATAATGACGGCAATGATGATGATGATAATGACGACGACAATGATGATGACGATGATAATGATTACGACGGTGATGACGATGATGATGACGATGACGACGACGATGATGATGACAAAGACAGTGACGACAACGGTGATGGTGGCGATGATGAGCACGGTGGCTAGATTCCCCGCGTGACGGTAACCGCGTTCACGGCGCAATTATAATTAACCAACCTCAAATTGATCTTAACTTTTTACAATTACTGCGACTATGACAATTGCCCCATGTAATTTGCCGAGTTTCGGGTATTACCGCCACTGCTCTAGATATTCGCGAGCATGCGTTCACCGGCACCTAAGCCTGAATTAATGTAACTTGATGATGCGGTAATGCGATCGTAAGATACTTGAAATCCTTTCCGCGCAATTTCAGAAGTGCTCCGCCGCATGCTAAGCTCACAGCCGGAGCCGTGAACATTAACGTTATATTATTGGTTCTTTCGGTAAAGTCACGTAGAAGGGAAGTAATAAAATAATAAAACTAAAACAATAAAATTCTCACGACGTTTCGATTGCAACGCAAGCAATCGTCATCAGGTGTGAAAACCATAGCAATTTTTTTTTTGAAAAAAGTGGCGTTTTTTTTTTCATTTCAAATCCCTGCAGTCACGAAAGCTTTAAATCGAAATTTAAAATTATACTTCTGTGAAATTTTAGCAATGACGATTTTTTTATATATATATTTTTAAAACCGGTCCTTTTTCGAATTGCACTTATATTCGTGACTCCCCGCATAAGAGAAGATAACGAATCGCGATGATTTATCATCTTGTTAAGCAGAGGTCTTCGGAAGTTGAGTCGCAGTTGTGGTGTTTGCGAGCGTCTTCAGTTGTGAAGACGTCTTCGGTTCTGAAGACGTCTTCATTTCTGAAGACGAATTGAAGACATCTTAATTTTTAAAGACGTCTACATTTTTGAAGACATCTTCATTTCTGAAGACGTTTTCATTTCTAAAGACGTCTTCATTTCTGAAGACGAATTGAAGACATCTTCATTTTTAAAGACGTCATTTTTAAAGACGTCTACATTTTTGAAGACATCTTCATTTCTGAAGACGTTTTCAATTCTGAAGACGTCTTTAATTCTAAAGACGAATTGAAGACGTCTTCATTTCTTTAATTTTTAAAAACGTCTTCGCTTCTGAAAACGCTCGTTGGTTACCCCCCCCCCCACCACCACCCCGAAAAGTGAAAGAAAACGCGCCGAAATTTTAATTTGCCAGACTTCGCAAACCAAGTGAACACGGTGGGTCTTAAATAAAACATAAGAAAGCAAAAGACCCCACTCAGGTCTCCGTGGCGCGGACTCCACACGTGGTACGCGTCGCGACACGCGTGTGACAGCTTGCGAAACACGACGAGACGTTTGAGAGGTTTGTGGTCCAACACCATGTGAGATTAGGCTCTAAGGAAAGCTGTCTCGGGTGTGGACCAATCAACTTCAAGGACAGTGCATATATTGTCAGAGTTATGTTTTTGTTTGCATTATGACTGCAGGTATTGTGGTCTATGCAAACATGACTCTGTGAAAAAAGGTGTCAGTTTTGTTGCCAGATAGAAGGGTAAAAAAACAATTATCATATTTGTACTGCCAAATGAGGTTCCAATGGTGTAAATGCTTACCCCGAGCTCTCGTACTCTGATGGTGCATTGTCTTTGAGTTGTGCGCCTTTTGGCGTCATCTGGTCCAACACCATGTGAGACTAGGCTCTAAGGAAAGCTGTCTCGGGTGTGGACCAATCAACTTCAAGGACAGTGCATACATTATCAGAGTTGTGTTTTTTGTTTGCATTACGACTGCAGGTATTGTGGTCTATGCAAACATGACTCCTTGTAAAAAAGGTGTCAGTTTTGTTGCCAGATAGAAGGGTAAAAAAACAATTATCATATTTTTACTGGCAAAGGAGGTTCCAATGGTGTAAATGCTTACCCCGAGCTCTCATACTCTGATGGTGCATTGTCTTTGAGGTGTGCGCCTTTTGGCGTCATCTGGTCCAACACCATGTGAGACTAGGCTCTAAGGAAAGCTGTCTCGGGTGTGGACCAATCAACTTCAAGGACAGTGCATACAATATCAGAGTTATGTTTTTTGTTTGCATTATGACTGCAGGTATTGTGGTCTATGCAAACATGACTCCTCGTAAAAAAGGTGTCGGTTTTGTTGGCAGATGAAAGGATAAAAAACCAATTATCATATTTTTTACTGGCAAATGAGGTACCAATGGTGTAGGTTTGTGTTTGTTTAAAATCAAATAAAAATCACGACGTTTCGATCACAACACAAGCAATCCTCATCAGGTGGAACAACCTCGGATTTTTTCTTGCTGTGCTTATGTTGCGATCAAAACGTCGTGATTTGTTTTATTTAATTTTATTTCTACCCACGTGACTTTACCGAAAGAACCAAAGAGTATGGATTCCTACAGTCACGAAAGCTTCCAATCAAGATTTTGTTTGAGTGTTTAGTTAAACGACGTCAAGGTATTGCAAACACGCATTTTCGATGCGTGGTAACCCTCCGGCAACCGCAGTTATATTTTCACCACGAACGCACGCGCTGCCCTGTGCGTTGCTCTAAACTATTAAAACTGTAGTAATAGGTTTATCATCGTTGTCGTCATTATCATCATCATCGTCATCATCGTCGTCATCATCGTCGTAATAATTAGCATCGTCATCATCATTGTCGTCGTCATCGTCATCATCGTATTAAAACTGTCTCACTATTTTCATTTTACCAGGTGAGATTTATATGAAGCTGTTTTTCATAAGCGACCTGGCTATTGCACAAATGAAAGCTCAACGAAGTGGCTTATCGTCATCACTTTGAAATTCATCGCAGCCGAATACTCTGAACGCGTGATGTGGAGGTGAAAACCGGAGGACCCGTAGAAAAAACCTACGGGGAGAGAGAGAGAGAGACACGCAAACTCCAAATATACAGCAGCAGGCGTCAGGGTCGGGATCGAACTCACCACCTCCTGCATACCAGGCGAGGTAGTTAACATCTCCTAGCCACCGTGATGATGATGAGAGAGAGAGACACACAAACTCCAAATATACAGCAGGCGTCAGGGTCGGGATCGAACCCACAACCTCCTGTATACTAGGCTAGGTAGTTAACATCTCCTAGCCACCGTGATGATTATGAGAGAGAGACACGCAAACTCCAAACATACAGCAGACGTCAGGGTCGGGATCGAACCCACGACCTCCTGTATACTAGGCTAGGTAGTTAACATCTCCTAGCCACCGTGATGATGATGAGAGAGAGACACGCAAACTCCAAATATACAGCAGGCGTCAGGGTCGGGATGGAACCCACGACCTCCTGCATACCAGGCGAGGTAGTTAACATCTCCTAGCCACCGTGATGATGATGAGAGAGAGAGACACGCAAACTCCAAATATACAGCAGGCGTCAGCGTCGGGACCGAACCCACGACCTCATGCATACCAGGCGAGGTAGTTAACATCTCCTAGCCACCGTGATGATGATGAGAGAGAGGCGCAAACTCAAAATATAAAGCAGCAGGCGTCAGGGTCGGGATCGAACCCACGACCTCCTGCATACCAAGCGAGGTAGTTAACATCTCCTAGCCACCATTCTCCGTAGACATCACGACGGTTTCCCGTGAACAAATGCCACTCCCCAAATGCACGCGAACCTGGCAGTAGGAAAACAAAGCTCCGTTGACACTCCGTGGAGCGTTTTACATGTCCAACGGCACTTCGAAACCATCTCGGATTGTGCAGTCGCGTGCGCGCACGTAATCAATATTAGGCAGTGAAGCTAAAAATACCGGGTAAAACAAAAAAAAAATAGAAGAATCGATGCAAGCCTCACTGAAGGGCAAGGCTGTCCCGTCCAATGGACGCTTGACAACACTTTATTAAACATAATAGCGACTTCAAACATCCGAACGGAAATTAAACACGGTGATGTTGTGCATCGTTAAAGCCCTACGTTTGCTGTCCCTTATGGACCAGTAGTTGCTTGTTAGTTATCCTACCACTGCTGCTGCTTGCTGATGATATGAGAGAGGTGTTAAGCGAATGTTAACGACCTCGCCCGGTGTACGGGAGGTCGTGGGTTCGATCCCGACCCTGACGCCTGCTGCTGTATATTTGGAGTCTGATTAAACCCACGACCTCCTGCATACCAGGCGAGGTAGTTAACATCTCCTAGCCACCGCGATGATGATGAGAGAGAGAGAAACGCAAACTCCAAATATACAGCAGGCGTCAGGGTCGGGATCGAACCCACGACCTCCTGTATACCAGGCGAGGTAGTTAACATCTCACCACGGAGAGGGAGAGACACGCAAACCCCAAAAATACAGCAGGAGTCAGGGTCGGCATCGAACCAGCGGCCTCCTGCATACCAGGCGAGGTAGTTAACATCTCAAACCGCTACGCCCCAAATTGTTTAGATATTTAAGTCCAACTCCCCACGGCGGCAAATGAACGTTTCTCAAAGCGATAGCAGCAGCAGCATCGGCAGCACGGAGAATGGCCATCAAATCTGTTGACGTTTACGATGCTTTAACGACGGTCAATAGTATTGACGATAACACCGCCAATGACGGAAATGTTTGGCATCGATGATGAAAATATTGAAAATCGTAACGATTATCTTCATTAGGCTCACTGGCAATGATGATGATAATGGAAGTATTAAAGATGAATTAATCTGAGTTGGCGGTCATAACAATGGCCCGGACAGCAAAAGAAACCTGTGGCAATTCGACAAACCGCGGTTATAATTTATATCGATGGGTGGCGTTGTTCGTGAGTGCGACGCACAGCAGGGGATACAATAGGCGTGCGACGCAGGAGACAATGGGTGTCAATTGTGAGGCTCTTGACAGTGGCACAAAATTCATCGCGCTGGGGAGTGTGCGCGTGTGTGCGCGCCGACTGAAGAAAATAAGGCAGCATACGTGCGCAAGTGGTGGTGGTGGTAAAGATTTTGGTGATTTTTGTTTGTAAATAAATGGCCCTGCGTGGATTGTTTGGCCGGTCGCTTTGGTTTTTTTTTCGTTAGTTTTTGTTGAGTTTTTTTAGTTAGTTTTTTTTAGTTCGATTTTTTTTGGTTAGTTATTTTTGTTCAGTTTTTTTTAGTTAGCTTTTTTGTTCGGTTAGTTTTTTGTTTAGTTTATTTTTGTTAGGTTCTTTTTATTTACGTACAAAAAAATTGCCCCTTTGGTAATAGATCACAGCAGCAGGAAAAAAAAAAAACCCCCACAGCCACACTAAAAAAATAACCAAACACCCAAACTCCACGCCGACAGATCAGCAACCCCACTCGCTGCGCCCGCCTGCCATGGGCAACTTCCTCGTCCGCGAAACGGGCGCTCGCAAATGCTGGCTTCGTGTCCGGACGATCCACCAAACCGAAACCGCATGCCTACAAACCCGCCACCCACCCACACCCTACGCTGTGTCGCTCGACAACGATGGCGGCGACGATGTCGGATTTGACGGCGTTGATTTCCTCGTCCCTGCACCCGCCCCGGCAGGCTGGGAGATCATCGCGACCGTCGTCAGGAAGGAGGCGCCGAGGGTTCCTTCCCACGTGGTGACCGAGGGCGATCGACTCGTGATCAGCGCCGATAGCGAACTCCCCAGCGACATCCTGAGCACCATCCGATCGAGTGAGAGCGACCGATTGACCTCGCCGCACACCCGTCCACCCTTGCTCATTCACGGCAAAATATCTCCCCCCGCGTAGCCTTCGCAGACTGTTGGGGCGAGTGCTGTTAGCGAGCGCCTATTAAGGCTGGGACGGGACACACGGGTGGGCCCCTAAAGACAAAGCTCCCCCGTATAGCCTGCAGAAGACTCTTGGGGCAAGTGCTGCGAGCGAGTAGCAGCCTACGTAGGCGGCGGGCAATAGCAGTGTTTACACACCGCACCAGGTACTCATTTGAGGCTGAGTCGACCTAGGGGAGGCCGAGGAACGGTTCAGATCATCGTCACCAGTGTTGGCCATGAGCGGGAATCGAACTCGGGTCGGCCGGGTTCGTAACGCGACGCGTTAACCACTGCACCACCGCTCCCCATATAAAGTACAAAGACAAAGATCCCCCGTGTAGCCTTAACAGACTGTTGGGGCAAGTGCTGTTAGCGAGCAGCGCCTGTGAAGGCCGGCACGGCACACGAGGGGGTGGGTGGCCGGCATCACGCCCGACCGCCTTTGTCTCCCCAGTGGCGATGATCAGACAGCACAAACCAGGTACTCGCTTAAAGGCTGAGTCGACCTAGGGGAGATCCAGGACCGATTGAGATAATTGTCACCGGTGGTGACCGTGAGCTGGCAAGCGTGCTTCCCTCTTTCACTGCAGGCTCTAATCCAGTTGCACCGGTTGCGCCGGTTGTACCCGTTGCGCCGGTTGCACCGATTGCACCGGTTGCACCCTTTGCACCGGTTGCACCGGTTGCGCCCGTTGCACCGGTTGCACCCGTTGCACCGGTTGCACCCGTTGCACCGGTTGCGCCGGTTGCACCCATTGCACCCGTTGCGCCGGTTGCACCCGTTGCACCGGTTGCACCGGTTGCGCCCGTTGCACCGGTTGCACCCGTTGCACCGGTTGCACCCATTGCACCGGTTGCGCCGGTTGCACCGATTGCACCGGTTGCACCCGTTGCACCGGTTGCGTTGGTTGCGCCGGTGAAGGAAGGCGGCCACTGCCACCGCCCCACGCGGGGCACACTGACTTGCGGGTTTGCCGCAGGCGGCATCACCAAGATCACGGTGCGCAAGATGGTGATCAACCCGGACAGCACGCAGAGCGTGCAGGTGTTCAACCTGGAGGGCGGCAACCTGGAGGAGCAGATACGCCGCCTCATGGAGGACGGTGAGGACATCGGCGAGAACAGATCGACGTCAAGAAAATCCGCAGAAGGCGGCGTGCTCTACCCAACGCGCGTTCACGATTCATCCGCTTTAATTAAAAATGCGCCCGGCGGTATTAGCCGCGGGCCTAACGACCGGGCGGCACAATTAGTGGAATCAATAATGCAGATGTGTGAATTGATCCCGGATAGCGGTATTCCATGAAGGTGGCCTAGGCAATTGGCCACGTGTGTGCCTCTCGCCTTGATGGGGAGGTGATGGTGGTGGTGGTGATGATGGTGGTGGTGATGGTGGTGGTGATGGTGGTGATGGTGGTGGTGATGGTGGTGATGGTGATGGTGGTGATGGTGGTGATGGTGATGATGGTGATGGTAGTGATGGTGGTGATGGTGATGGTTGTGGTGGTGATGGTGATGGTGCTGATCAGGCGAAAGGGTTGCGTGGAATAATAATCAGCGACAACAACAAAAAAATTGGGGGTAAAAAACGAAACTTTATTTTTAAAATGCACACACTCTCAAGTAGAAGATTAATTATACTGGTAGGAACCTCCTGGTTACACCAGCCCACAGGGGATTATTGTGTCCGTCCGTCCATCGTGCAGGGAGGGGCTGGGTGGGGAGGGTGGGGCTGGGTGAGGAGGGAGGGTGGGGCTGAGTGGGGGGTGGGAGGGGTGGGGCTGGGTGGGGAGTGGCTGGTCACCCCGTGGTGCCCTTATAAAACTCAACGTTTAACCTACTCACGCCGGCTTGTGCCCGCCCTCACAGTCGGGCATATTTGCGGAATACACCACGCCGCCGTTGATCCTGGCCATTGACCGAGCAACCCGACGTTCCTACCAGCTCCCTCCGCAGGAATGTGTTTTTGACCGCCAGGTTTAATCTAATTTGATAGCCCAGCTCCACCAATGGAGGTCAAGAATGTGTATGTAGGTACGTTGAACTTCTTTCGCACCGTACGTAGCCAACCATGCTCATGGGAGGTGCAGTGTTGAGTCTATGGGCAGTGTTGAGTCTATGGGTAGTGTTGAGTCTACGTGCAGTGTTGAGTCTATGGGTAGTGTTGAGTCTATGGGTAGTGTTGAGTCTATGGGCAGTGTTGAGTCTATGGGCAGTGTTGAGTCTACGTGCAGTGTTGAGTATATGGGCAGTGTTGAGTCTATGGGTAGTGTTGAATCTATGGGTAGTGTTGAGTCTATGGGTAGTGTTGAGTCTATGGGCAGTGTTGAGTCTGTGGGCAGTGTTGAGTCTACGTGCAGTGTTGAGTATATGGGCAGTGTTGAGTCTATGGGTAGTGTTGAATCTATGGGTAGTGTTGAGTCTATGGGCAGTGTTGAGTCTATGGGCAGTGTTGAGTCAATGGGCAGTGTTCAGTCTATGGGCAGTGTTGAGTCAATGGGCAGTGTTCAGTCTATGGGCAGTGTTGAGTCTATGGGCAGTGTTGAGTCTATGGGTAGTGTTGAGTCTAAGGGCAGTGTTGAGTCTATGGGGAGTGTTGAGTCTATGGGCAGTGTTGAGTTTATGGGGAGTATTGAGTCTATGGGCAGTGTTGAGTCTATGGGCAGTGTTGAGTCTATGGGCAGTGTTGAGTCTATGGGTAGTGTTGAGTCTATGGGCAGTGTTGAGTCTATGGGGAGTATTGAGTCTATGGGCAGTGTTGAGTCTATGGGTAGTGTTGAGTCTATGGGTAGTGTTGAGTCTATGGGTAGTGTTGAGTCTATGGGCAGTGTTGAGTCTATCGGCAGTGTTGAGTCTATGGGCAGTGTTGAGTCTATGGGCAGTGTTGAGTCTATGGGCAGTGTTGAGTCTATGGGCAGTGTTGAGTCTATGGGCAGTGTTGAGTCTATGGGCAGTGTTGAGTCTATCGGCAGTGTTGAGTCTATGGGCAGTGTTGAGTCTATGGGCAGTGTTGAGTCTATGGGCAGTGTTAGTCTATGGGTAGTGTTGAGTCTATGGGCAGTGTTGAGTCTATGGGTAGTGTTGAGTCTATGGGCAGTGTTGAGTCTATGGGTAGTGTTGAGTCTATGGGCAGTGTTGAGTCTATGGGTAGTGTTGAGTCTATGGGCAGTGTTGAGTCTATGGGCAGTGTTGAGTCTATGGGCAGTGTTGAGTCTATGGGTAGTGTTGAGTCTATGGACAGTGTTGAGTCTATGGGCAGTGTTGAGTCTATGGGTAGTGTTGAGTCTATGGGCAGTGTTGAGTCTATGGGTAGTGTTGAGTCTATGGGCAGTGTTGAGTCTATGGGTAGTGTTGAGTCTATGGGCAGTGTTGAGTCTATGGGTAGTGTTGAGTCTATGGGCAGTGTTGAGTCTATGGGCAGTGTTGAGTCTATGGGCAGTGTTGAGTCTATGGGCAGTGTTGAGTCTATGGGCAGTGTTGAGTCTATAGGCAGTGTTGAGTCTATGGGCAGTGTTGAGTCTATGGGTAGTGTTGAGTCTATGGACAGTGTTGAGTCTATGGTGCAGTGTTGAGTCTATGGGTAGTGTTGAGTCTACGTGCAGTGTTGAGTCTATGGGTAGTGTTGAGTCTACGTGCAGTGTTGAGTCTATCGGCAGTGTTGAGTCTATGGGTAGTGTTGAGTCTATGGGTAGTGTTGAGTCGTCCGCTCCGAATATTCCGGCCTCTGACCGCCGTGTCACCCCCCCCCCCCCACCTCCGGTCCAGGCTGGGAGATGTTCCTGCGGATCGTGAAGGTGAAGCCCAGGATCGTGACCATCCGCGTGATCACTGTGGGAGACCGCATGATCATAGAGGGCGACGGCTACATTACCGAAGACATCCTGAAAGAAGTCAACACAGGTGAGCCTGGCGGTCGCGACGCAGAGCGGACGGACGTAGCGCACCGGCTGCTTGATATTGGTCGCGAAAGACGACTGCTGCTACTACAGCAGAACCCCTGTTGATGACAAGTCGCTCAACGACGGGCCGAACAAGGGTAACTTTCGATGGTGTCGGAACGAATTAAGCCTCTGACGTGTATTTCCTTACGCTCGCTTCACGACCAAATCGCTTAACGACCGGTTTCTCGGAACCAGTCGCCGTCGTAAAGAGGGCTTCTGCTGTACGCAGCGCATGGGCGCGTTCGTACGGTGCCGCCACTTATACCCGGCCGCCTTTGTCTCCCTCGTGGCGATGTTTACCACGCACCGTGCCAGCTTACTCACCTGAGGCTGAGTTCACCTAAAGGAGGCCCGGAGCCGTTTCAGTGAGCGGGATTCAAACTCGGGTTATGTCGGTGCTTAGCGCCGCTCACTAACCACTGCGCTGCTACTCCCCACGGCAATGCACGGTCGTGTCCCACAAACAACAACCGCCATTCGCCACTTAAGTGGCGGTGACGTCACCACGACGCTTGTGCCAGGCCATGTGCACCTTGAGGCCACGTGAAGTGTCGAACGCCCGCTGGCAAGAGGTCACGGGGCAGACCCAGCAGGTGCCACGGGTCGACTGACTGAGATGACCGAGATGACCTGAGATGACTACCACAGACATACACACACACACTTGATGTACACAGGTTGCAGGCAATCGTCACTTGGTGTTGGCCGTGAGCGGGAATCGAACTCGGGTGGCCGGGTTCATTTCCATCACTCCCTACGCCGCCACCACCAACACCATCTCTTCTGCTCAGCTACAGGGCAAATGTGACCTACAGAGATTGAGATTGTCAGGGCAAAGATTAACAATTTCATTTGTGCGTGCGGGCGCGCGTGTGTGCACTTCATTCTGCTTCTTTAGGTGCGGCCAAGGTTGGTGTTTTATCAGTTTGTTTCACATGAGACATTGTGTTCTTGCGGCTAATGGAGAATGTATCTCTCACTAACTCGAACTCTGCCCTCGGCAACAAACCCATTTCCAGCTTACGTTTACAAAGTCTTGTTCGGGGGGGGGAATTTTCGTGCCGTTTTGCACTGTTTACATTCCCTGGTGCCCGGCGATGTCGGTGATAACGCCTTGAGACTTTCGTGGAAGGCGCCTTACTAATACATGTAAATTGTTATAATAACATCCGCACCCCTAATGAAGTGCACGCCGTGGAAATACGCGGCAGCGTCCCGTATACAAAGTCACACCTTGATCAGCGTTTCTTTAGAATTGGCGCGTCGAGGAGTACGACGAATTCCGGCGTTGTGTGCACAGTGGCGGCTCAGACGTCCTTGCCTCGGCAAACGTGGCATGAGTTTTCCCAATTAAAAACAAAAAAATTTACCCGTAAAAACAAAGTTTTTCACTATAAATCCGTTATATGCGTGGCGGCTAGAGTCCTCTCGTCCTCTGGCTTGAGATGGCTGCCACCTATGGGTCAGATGATTGCCTGCCACCATTAAGCAATTGGTAATTAAATTTAATTTTTTTCTACCTAAAAAGTGTAACATTTTTGAAAAAAAATTTCACGAAAAGAAATTGTCACGCACAACGAGTCTGTGTGCAAAATGTCAGCTCGATTGGATCACGGGAGGTGGTTTAAAAAACTACCGAAAGATTTGCACGGTTGTAAGCGCGCAAGCAAGCAAGTGAACTTAATCGAGCTGTAATTTTCCACACAGACTCGTTGTGCGTAACAATTAATTTTCGTGAAAAAAAATTTGCAAAATTTTACACTTTTTAGGAAAACATTTTTTATATTTAATTACCAATTGCTTAATGCTGCCAGGACATCATCTGACCCATAGGTGGCAGCCATCTCAAGCCAGAGGACGAGAGGACTCTAGCCGCCACGTATATAAAGGATTTATAGTGAAAAACTTTGTTTTTACGGGTTATACTTGTTACCAGGTAAGGTCCCACTGAGCCGTGTGGTAGATCTTTCAGAAGCGGCCTGGTCACGAGTGATGGCCCAACGAAGCGGCTCATCATCGTGTGGACATTTACAGCAGCCAAATACTCTAAACGCGTGACGTTGATTCTAATATGTGGAGGGGGAAACCGGAGGACCCGGAGAAAAATCCACGCGATATCCAAATATTTTTAGGGGTGAAGAAATTGCAAATTTCTGAACGGATTAAGCCTCTAACATATATTTCCTATACTCGCTGAACGTGCCCAATCACTGACCGACCGGTTTTCGCGGAACCAATCACCGTCGTGTGAGAGGCGGCTTTCACCGTACCACGTGCTCAACGAGGTCACGCTCGTCACAAACGCTCATCCCGTGGCACCGCCGAGAACCCAAACGATTCTCCCCCCCCCCGTGATGACATCGACGTGATGTCACGTGGAGCGAGCGATGTCGTCAAAGTTCAACCGAGAGCACCGGAGTCTGTAGCCCAGACTGACGTCTGGAGATGGAGCGATGAAATCGACTCTCGCGTGCGTGCGCGCGGGCGTGCGCGTTCCTGGGTGGATCGCGTGCGTCGCAGGATCGCGACCGAGCGGTGGCAACGACCGCGAGCGATGGATCGTGATGGCTTGGGGAGGCCACCGTGCAGCAGTGGATTGATCACGGCTGACGATGACGATGATGTTGACTGCAGGGTGTGCGAGGAACGTGCCGCGGAGAGGAAGGGTGTGCGTGCGTGCGTGCGCGTGCGTGAGGGCGCACGCCACTCATCTCCACGTGTGCCGTGCCGGCCTTCATAGGTGCTGCTCGCTAACAGCACTTGCCCCTACAGTCTGTTAAGGCTATACGGGGGGATCTTTGTCTTTGTGAGCGCGGCCTATTTCGACGTTTCCACCGTGGTGGCCGGAAGAAGAAGCGCCTGCTTGGAGGGGTTTACCCGCCCTTCCGCACACACACACACGCAACTAACTTGTCAGGCCAACTTCGAGGCCACACTTCACGTGGCCTCGAAGTGCACCTGGCCTGGCACAGGCGCCGTGGCGGCTTGGCGAATGGCGGCGCTTGACTCCTCTCGCGCCGCGATGTTTTCCGCCGCACGCAGGAGAGTTCCGCACCGTGACGGTCCGCAAGACGGTGACGAACGCCGACGGCAGTGCGGAGGTGCAGACGTTCACTCTGGACGGGAACGATATTGAGGAGCAGCTCCGACGACTCATGGAGCAAGGTACGCGTGCGTGTGCGCGTGTGCGTGTGCGTGCGCGTGTGTGCGTGTGCGCGTGTGTGCGTGTGTGCGTGTGCGCGTGTGCGCGTGTGCGTTCGTGCGTGTGGATGTTGAACTTCGTGGGGAGCGGTAGTGTAGCGGTTAGCGCTACGCTGCGCTATGAACCCGGCGACACGGGTTCGATTCCCGCTCACTGCCAACATCAGTGACAATTATCTGAACCGGTCCCGGGCCTCCCCTAGGTCGACTCGGCCTCAAATGAGTACCTGGTGCGGTGTGTAAACATTGCCACTAGGGAGACAAAGGCGGTCGGGCGTGGTGCTGGCCACCCACCCCCTCGTGTACCGTTCCAGCCTTCATAGGTGCTCGCTAACAGCACTTGCCCCTACAGTCTGTTAAGGCTATACGGGGGATCTTTGATCTTTGATGTTGAACTTCTTTCGCGCTGTACGTAGCCGACCGCGCTAATCGGAGGTGCTGTGTAGCAGCGGGTGAGTGAGAGAGCGGGTGTGTGAGTGGGTTGGTGAGTGCGTTGGTGGTGACCTGCAGTGTGACGAGTGTGAGAGTGGGTGGGCGAGTGTGAGAGTGGGTGGGTGAGTGGGTGTGTGAGTGGGTTGGTGAGTGCGTTGGTGGTGACCTGCAGTGTTTCGAGTAGCGTGGGTGAGAGAGCGAGTGAGTGGGTGGGTGAGTGGGTTGGTGAGTGCGTTGGTGGTGAGCTGCAGTGTGACCAGTAGCGTGAGAGAGTGGGTGGGTGAGTGGGTTGGTGAGTGCGTTGGTGGTGAGCTGCAGTGTGACGAGTTGCGTGGGTGAGAGTGAGAGTGGGTGGGTGTGAGAGTGGGTGGGTGAGTGGGTTGGTGAGTGCTTTGGTGGTGAGCTGCAGTGTGACCTGTAGCGTGAGAGAGTGGGTGGGTGAGTGGGTTGGTGAGTTGCGTTGGTAGTGAGCTGCAGTGTGACGAGTTGCGTGGGTGAGAGGGCGAGTGGGCGAGTGGGCGAGTGTGAGAGTGGGTGGGTGAGTGGGTTGGTGAGTTGCGTTGGTGTTGAGCTGCAGTGTGACCAATAGCGTGGGTGAGAGAGCGAGTGGGCGAGTGTGAGAGTGGGTGGGTGAGTGGGTTGGTGAGTTGCGTTGGTGGTGACCTGCAGTGTTTCGAGTAGCGTGGGTGAGAGAGCGAGTGGGCGAGTGTGAGAGTGGGTGGGTGAGTGGATTGGTGAGTGCGTTGGTGGTGACCTGCAGTGTTTCGAGTAGTGTGGGTGAGAGAGCGAGTGGGCGAGTGTGCGAGTGGGTGGGTGAGTGTGTTGGTGAGTTGCGTTGGTGGTGACCTGCAGTGAGAGAGCGAGTGGGTGAGTGTGAGAGTGAGTGGGTGAGTGGGTGGGTGAGTTGCGTTAGTGGTGAGCTGCAGTGTGACGAGTAGCGTGGGTGAGAGAGCGAGTGGGCGAGTGTGAGAGTGGGTGGGTGAGTGGGTGGGTGAGTTGCGTTGGTGGTGACCTGCCGTGTGACGAGTGTGAGAGTGGGTGGGCGAGTGTGAGAGTGGGTGTGTGAGTGGGTGGGTGAGTTGCGTTGGTGGTGACCTGCCGTGTGACGAGTAGCGTGGGTGAGAGGGCGAGTGGGCGAGTGTGAGAGTGGGTGGTTGAGTGGGTGGGTGAGTTGCGTTGGTGGTGACCTGCCGTGTGACGAGTAGCGTGGGTGAGAGGGCGAGTGGGCGAGTGTGAGAGTGGGTGGGTGAGTGGGTGAGTGTGAGAGTGGGTGGGTGAGTGGGTTGGTGAGTTGCGTTGGTGGTGACCTGCAGTGTTTCGAGTAGCGTGGGTGAGAGAGCGAGTGGGTGAGTGGGTGTGTGAGTGGGTGTGTGAGTGGGCGAGTGTGAGAGTGGGTGGGTGAGTGGATTGGTGAGTGCGTTGGTGGTGAGCTGCAGTGTGACGAGTAGCGTGGGTGAGAGAGCGAGTGGGCGAGTGTGAGAGTGGGTGGGTGAGTGGGTTGGTGAGTTGCGTTGTTGGTGACCTGCAGTGTTTCGAGTAGTGTGGGTGAGAGAGCGAGTGGGCGAGTGGGCGAGTGTGAGAGTGGGTGGGTGAGTGGGTTGGTGAGCTGCGTTGGTGGTGAGCTGCAGTGTTTCGAGTAGCGTGGGTGAGAGAGCGAGTGGGCGAGTGGGCGAGTGTGAGAGTGGGTGGGTGAGTGGGTTGGTGAGTTGCGTTGTTGGTGACATGCAGTGTTTCGAGTAGTGTGGGTGAGAGAGCGAGTGGGCGAGTGGGCGAGTGTGAGAGTGGGTGGGTGAGTGGGTTGGTGAGCTGCGTTGGTGGTGAGCTGCAGTGTTTCGAGTAGCGTGGGTGAGAGAGTGAGTGGGCGAGTGTGAGAGTGGGTGGGTGAGTGGGTTGGTGAGCTGCGTTGGTGGTGAGCTGCAGTGTTTCGAGTAGCGTGGGTGAGAGAGCGAGTGGGCGAGTGGGCGAGTGTGAGAGTGGGTGGGTGAGTGGGTTGGTGAGCTGCGTTGGTGGTGAGCTGCAGTGTTTCGAGTAGCGTGGGTGAGAGAGCGAGTGGGCGAGTGTGAGAGTGGGTGGGTGAGTGGGTTGGTGAGCTGCGTTGGTGGTGAGCTGCAGTGTTTCGAGTAGCGTGGGTGAGAGAGCGAGTGGGCGAGTGTGAGAGTGGGTGGGTGAGTGGGTGGGTGAGTTGCGTTGGTGGTGAGCTGCAGTGTTTCGAGTAGCGTGGGTGAGAGAGCGAGTGGGCGAGTGTGAGAGTGGGTGGGTGAGTGGGTGGGTGAGTTGCGTTGGTAGTGAGCTGCAGTGTTTCGAGTAGCGTGGGTGAGAGAGCGAGTGGGCGAGTGTGAGAGTGGGTGGGTGAGTGGGTGGGTGAGTTGCGTTGGTGGTGAGCTGCAGTGTTTCGAGTAGCGTGGGTGAGAGAGCGAGTGGGCGAGTGTGAGAGTGGGTGGGTGAGTGGGTGGGTGAGTTGCGTTGGTGGTGAGCTGCAGTGTTTCGAGTAGCGTGGGTGAGAGAGCGAGTGGGCGAGTGTGAGAGTGGGTGGGTGAGTGGGTGGGTGAGTTGCGTTGGTGGTGAGCTGCAGTGTTTCGAGTAGCGTGGGTGAGAGAGCGAGTGGGCGAGTGTGAGAGTGGGTGGGTGAGTGGGTTGGTGAGTGCGTTGGTGGTGAGCTGCAGTGTTTCGAGTAGCGTGGGTGAGAGAGCGAGTGGGCGAGTGTGAGAGTGGGTGGGTGAGTGGGTGGGTGAGTTGCGTTGGTGGTGAGCTGCAGTGTTTCGAGTAGCGTGGGTGAGAGAGCGAGTGGGCGAGTGTGAGAGTGGGTGGGTGAGTGGGTGGGTGAGTTGCGTTGGTGGTGAGCTGCAGTGTTTCGAGTAGCGTGGGTGAGAGAGCGAGTGGGCGAGTGTGAGAGTGGGTGGGTGAGTGGGTTGGTGAGTGCGTTGGTGGTGAGCTGCAGTGTTTCGAGTAGCGTGGGTGAGAGAGCGAGTGGGCGAGTGTGAGAGTGGGTGGGTGAGTGGGTGGGTGAGTTGCGTTGGTGGTGAGCTGCAGTGTTTCGAGTAGCGTGGGTGAGAGAGTGAGTGGGCGAGTGTGAGAGTGGGTGGGTGAGTGGGTTGGTGAGTGCGTTGGTGGTGAGCTGCAGTGTTTCGAGTAGCGTGGGTGAGAGAGCGAGTGGGCGAGTGTGAGAGTGGGTGGGTGAGTGGGTTTTACGCACTTGAAGCTTCTTTCTCGCCAACCGCGCTAAACGGAGGTGCCGGGGAAGAACATTCGTTTCTCAATCGAGACGATGATTTAAAAGCGCACATCTGCAGTGGCTTCCAAATATCGGAAGGAAGAGCGTTCCAGACGGCCACAGAAGCACGCGCGACCCAGTGACCGTGTCCTCAGTTTGACAGGTCGGCCGTCGCGACCGATGTCACTCGCGATAAAGTTTTGTGGATTTTTTTCTTTTTTTAAATCCTTTATATTAAGTTCACTTGCTTGCTTGCGCGCTTACGACCGTGCAAATCTTTCGGTCGTTTTTTAACCCACTTCCCGTGATCCAATCGCGCTGACATTTTCCACACAGACTCGTTGTGCCAGACAATTAATGTTCGTGAAAAAAAATTCCCAAAATTTTACACTTTTTAAGCAAAAAAACATTTATTTTACATATATTCAAATAGAACGCATTCATCGCTTTGGCTGAACGTCAGAGTGTAAGAGCCCAGAGCGTAACCCCTTCACAGGCCATGGCGGAGTAGCGCAGTTGGTAGCGCCCTCGCTTCCCATGCCAAAGGTCGCGGGATCGATCCCCGCGTCCTCCACAGGCGAATATATTTCTAAATCCTTTATATTAAGTTCGCTGCCACGCATATAAAGGATTTATAGTGAAAAACTTTGTTTTTACGGGTTATACTTATTTTTGGGGTGAGATTGCGTGAAATATTGAACGTGCCGTTAACCCCGCCGCCGATGCCGCCCGACACGGCCAGCGAGGAAGGGTCACGACCCTGGCTGGTTGTTGTCATCACCGGCGAAACGTCAAGGGTTGCTCGACTTGTCAACATTGTTGTGGGTATTCTTGTTTCTTTCGGTGAAGTCACGTAGAAGGAAAACGATGAAATGAGAAAAATATAAAACGATAATAATATTCATCTTCTTGGTTCTTTCGGGAAAGTCACGTAGAAGGAAAATAATAAAATAATAAATAATAAAACATAATAAAATAATTCTCACGACGTTTCGGCCACAACGCAAGCAGCCGTCCTCAGATGAAGAAGTATATTATATTTTTTTATTATGTTTTATTTTTATTATTTTATTATTTCCCTTCTGCGTGACTTTACCGAAAGAACCAAGAAGATGAATCCCTGCAGTCACGAAAGCTTTAAATCGAAAAATAATATTTTTTTATTTTTTATTGTTTCCCTTCTACGTGACTTTACCGAAAGAACCAAGAATATGAATCCCTGCAGTCACGAAAGCTTTAAATTGAAAAATAATAATATTTTTATTTTTTTTCATTGTTTCCCTTCTACGTGACTTTACCGAAAGAACCAAGAAGATGAATC